AGGGAAATTGAGACTTCCTTATGTTTACTGTATAAAATCCAAGGTATGTTTTAGGGGAGTGATAAAGAAAGGCATAAGTGGTGGTGAGAAGGTAGTAACATTTCTCCAAGCTGTGATTTTTCAAAAACTCATTTTGCAGCCTGTTTTGCAGATACTCAGAATAGGTTAGTACAGGGAATGGAGTAAATTGCACCTCTCCAAATGAGTGGACCACCTTGCTCCCTCATGCCTACTCACAGTTGGCTTTTTGTTCCTCGGCGAGTAGAAAAGTGGTTATGAGCTTCCAAGTTTTAATGTGGATGCAAGAAAAAAAGCTCTTGGTGTAAGTTTTCATAACTTTCCTTTCTAGCTTGTTCTATCAGGAAATGGACTTCCTGTTAGCCAGACATATTATTAAGAAGAACTAATAACCTGGGTCATATCAGGATATATCTATTCTCAAGGATATTCATAAGATCATTGTAGTCATTTTAAGTATTCTTTAAACTGGTCTACAGGTAGTAAAGGTGTATGTTAGTAGCTCCTATGTAGGTTTTACAGCCAGCATCTTTCTTACATTCCACTGGACTTATCTTACATACACATCTTTCCACCCTGCTACTGCTGCCTGTCTTCCACACCAACTGGGGAGGGCTTAGATTCCTGAAGGGACAGGAGTACCTATGATGTTGCTGAGTCTGAAGGACATTTTGTTCTATAGTGTATAGGTGACTGCAGTGGTGGAGGTATCGTGGGGAACCTCTGTGGCTGTGCAGAGGAGGTTAGGTCGTTATCACCTTATTGCTGGTCGTACTGTGTAACATGTCCCAGCAGCTGTTCTACTTCTTCCTCTGTGGCTCACCAGAAAAGATAGCAAACAGTGGGCAGTCTACCAGGAAGAGTAGAGTGGCACATCAGGTTTCTGCCCTGCAGCATCTGAGCAGGTCTTGTAGGTGAAGATTTCCCCCTCTTCCCCCCCAGGAAAGGAGATAAAGTCAGACAGGGTGTAAATAGCTATAGAGTGAGCTCAACCCAGCTCTGTGCTTCAACTGAAGTGTATTCTCCCTGATGGATCTTTTTTCCTTTTTTTTTTTTTTTTTTTTTTTCCCCCCTCCATTTAACAAACCCCTTGAACATCTGTTTTCTGTGAAGTATTGTAATAAGTCTAGAGGCTGGGGAAAAACACTCACCCACTTACAGAACAGGCAACTACTCTGGTACCTGCTG